AATTAAAGTAATATCGATACAGATGAAGATCAACTATAATTTATTAAAATCTTAATAGTATCGATTTAAACTCAACTAAAAACAATAGATAATAAAATATATTATCGATGAAGGTGTGAAATTTTAATTAATAAATAGTAGTAGCAGCTTTATTTTTTTTCACCAATTGTAATGGAACATTCAATCAAACCACCAAATGATGCATCAATGCACTTTAAGTTCAAATACTTTACATACAAGTCATTTTTTTTTGAAATATAACAGACAGATGTTATGCTCTAAAGATTAACTTTTTGAAAAATATCTCTATTGAAAAAAAAAACAATGTTCTTAATTATTATTTATTTAAATTAATTTATTTCCGTACAAGAAATATCAAATGATCGAATTACCATAAGTGCTTGACCAGTAGGAGGTGAAATATAACATGGTATTGAACGAATACCAAATGCAGAATGATATACAGTAAATAAAGTTATTTCACCAAGTGAACCTTCTATAGTAATTGCTGTTTGACCTTGGTCGAAATTAATATCTATTGAATTAATTCGTTGTCGACTAACAGATGTCCATTTATTTAATTCACCCATAAATGCATATTGTGTATGATGAACATCATTAAATTGCCATAATGGTGATATATGCCAAAGACAAAATGATGAATTATTACATTTATTAGATGATATGTAAAGTGGATGAGTATCATCAAAAATAGATATATCAGTTGAATTTTCATAAGACCATATAATTCCTGATTGAGCTTTAATCATAGAAGGATAGATTAAATAATCTTTTCGCATTGATGATGCAAATATAATATAAAATGTTTGATTATTTCTATGAAAAGAAATAGATTAGATATATATTTCTAATAAAAATAAACTTACATAGTTGTTTGAGTTGAATAAAGTTCTCCTTGTATATCTCCATTATTTTCAGCCCAATCAGCAATTAATGAATCGACCATTGTTATTGGTCGATCTGGTTTTAAAATAAGACCATCTTCTCTACAACATCGCATAATACGTTCAATATTGGTATAATTAATTGCATCACCTGGACCAACAGGACCTGTTGAAAGTGTTGCTAGAACTATTTCTCTATCTGGAAGTGGTTCCATAGCAGATGGCTTATATGAAGAACCAGGTTCATTTGATGTTGACCAAAAAACATCTTTAAATGGAGCAATGCCAAGTGCATCAGCTAACATACTTGTTATTCCAATATTCCATTGATTACCTTTATGAACAATATGTGATGTATAATCACTTGATACTCGTGCTTGTGTTACTCGGGGAATTTCAAGTGCTTGTAATGCATGACGAGGATATGATGAACAATATTGAATAGTAATTCCAGCTTTTTCTGCTCCTTTACCCATTGATATTAACCATTGTTCTCCAAGATTAATATCTGTACGTAATGGAAGAAATTTTGATGTTTGAGCATGTAACCAATCTTGTTCATACATAATAAGACCCCAATTATGTGATGCATCACTTAATAAATCAATCCAAAATGAATCATTTCCTATTGGTAAAGACATTTCATTGATATTATCAAAAGCAAAATTATATTTATCTGAATAAACTGTATCTAATGCCCAATAACGATTATGTGCTGCCAATGGTATATTATCCATTTGATGATATACTGATGGAAGACCATCAGGAAAAATATCAGGTCGAGATTTCCATTGACTTACACCATCTTTTAATCCTTTATAATACCACCATGAATCTAATTGAATATAATGAAATGGAAGTGTTATTTTTTTATGAACAGATAATATTGTTTCTTCATAATTTAAACCTGATTCTGTATTATAATAATAATAAGCACCACCATCTGTATAATAGCCAAGATAATTTATAGTTATATCATTAAGACGATATTGTTTATCACGATTATATGCTCGTTGCATTATATTACCATATTGACGTAAAGCATCATTAATACCATTAGATGAATAAAAAAGAATCATTGTATGATTATAATTAGCTGGAATAGTTTTTATTGAACCCATAACACCATATTGTAATATATTATCTTGCTGACTTAATGATGTTGCCATAAATTGAGCAAATGGTGAAAGAATAATAACATCATTTTGTCCATGTTGAGTTATATTAAAAAGTACTACTGGTCCAGCTTCCATACCTGATTTAATAACTGTATTTGATGATTTCCAAATACCTGCATGCATTTCATCATAGCCCATCATAACACCTATATAAAAATATTTCAAATAATTAATACAAAAAAAAAACATTTACCTTCAAATGTAAAATATCCTCGATAATCATTTGTATCAATTTGTTCAATTTTAAATGATGGAAATACAGTACGAACTTGATCCATATTAAGATTAATATTATTTGTCAAATCTTTTGTACCAATATTCAAACGAAATGTTATTGACGAAATAGAATTCCATTGACGAATATGTGCAGATACATTCGTAACTATTCCACCATGATTTAATTTATAAATTAATTGAGTTTCATTCCAATTACCAAAATCTGGATCATCACCTTGGAATACAAGAGTATCAATAAGAAGAAGAGAACTATCATTTGATGAATACCATCGATCATCAACATATAAAGCAGTACTAGATGAACGAAGCCAAATATTATTACCAACACTAATACTATATTCTCCTTTTATTCGATCTATTGAAACTTGTACATCACACCAACATTGCACTATCATCAGTAAGGACAATATTGCACGATGCATTGTCAAACAAAAAGAAAAGAGTAATCTAAGTTGCAGGTAAAAGATAACATGATGTATATATATAGAGCGAGAAATACCATAGAAGATAAGAGATTGAAAGCATCACACGACGCATTTCGAATGGGGCTTAGGGTGTGGATATGGGTGGGTGGATGGTCTTTCCCTGATACCCACACCATAGTGAGTGTACTGAGTTAAGGATACCCGAAAAGTACCCTGCTACTAGTATGTCACAGGATCTGTTGGGTACCAAAGTACCTTATCGGGTACCCCGTTACAAAATATTCAGTAAATGGGTACTTGAAGGTACTGATCAAATACTCCATTGGGTACTATTGTACAGTATTTCTAGGTACTCTGTTACCAAAATTCCAGTATGTTCAGGATCGAACCTAACCTTTGAGTTTTTCCATTTGTGTTTTTCTCAAAGCGATTTATTACATTTTTTTCGATTTTATTCAATTTATTTTTTTTAATTCCTAAAACTCAGCAGATCGCATGCCGGAATCTTAACGGACTTGAGTTGGTCAGGTATCCATCAGATCACTTTAGAATAGTCCGCTTTTAATCTAAGATCAAGATCGGCATGTTTTCGACTAAGAAATGGTCAAGAAATAATCTAGAAAAAATTAGTATGAAAATAGATTATTTTCTTATGTTTTGCGGAGTAGTTTGTATGGAGCTGTGCGTGAAAAAGAAAACGTTGAATGAAAAGTTGCTACACAGAACACGACAAATGTAGGGTACCCTGTAAAGTTTTCTTCAGTAAAATTACAGATGCGGGTACCCATACAAGTATTTGTTCAGTGAGCGTACTTTGATGGATATCCCATGCAGTACCTGCATCAGTATAATTACTGAAAATTTTTGCAGTACCCAAATTGAGTACCCTGCTAAGGCTTTCTCAGTACATGGGTACCCTGAACTCAGTACTTACTTTCTTTAGGACTACTATATCTGGTTATTTCTTACTCATTGCAGAAAGGACTGTAATATCTTCTCATGTTATTGATTCGACATCTGGAGAAGAATAAATTCATGTAGTTGGTAACTCAAGAAGACTCGAATACCTATCAAATATGTTCTATCTTGAACGAGAAACAGCGACAAAATCTGAAACATATACAAGAAAGTATTCTTATTAACATCTACATATGTCACAGCATTAATTTAAAACAATGTTCTGAAAGTGAAGTATCTTTGTATTAGTATGCTATCTGTTCAAAATCTTGTTAGTATAGTCATAGCTTATCTGGGTCTATGTAAGACATTTAGCATCCAATTAGTAGTGATTGAACAATTGATGATTTTTTCTCGTAAGTTCAAAGGCAAATCTTAACTTACTAAATACTTAACATTCTCTACGATTTACAAAAAATTAATCAATTTCGTAAATTTAACCCAAAGAAAATTTTAAAAATTACACTTTACTTAAAATTTATTTTCATGATGTTGGTAACGCACTCACTCAAAAGCCCACTTGTTATTACATCCATACAAAAGAATATTATATTATTACGAGTTTTTTTGTGTTAAAACAATATAGTCATATGAATTTGTGCTGAGACGATAAGCTTGATAATCATATGGCATCTACTTTTCGAATGCTTATTTTTATAAGGATTTTTTACTATAGGATTTTGGTAACCAGAGTTTGCAATGGAAATCTAAAATGAAATGTTTTTTTACACTTTACTAACACGAGCAAAGTGTATATGAGCACTTTGTATTCGTTGGCAAAGTGTACTAAAATGTATGTAGAACAAACTTTTCACAATCTAAAAAATAGAAAAGATGTTTGTACTTTTGTCTTTAAAGTAAAATAAAATACAGTTCAATACTTAAATAACAAATGACTAATAAAAACACGTACAATTTCATAATCTGACATATTTACAAGAAAATGAAAGAACAAAACGAACGCGATTTCACATAACAAACATAGAAATTAATATATACTATTTTTTAAAAATAATATTATCAAGCCAGTAAATTTTCTTGATTTTCATCTTCATCTTCGTGCATATCTTCATGATCACAACAAAACCATAAGGAATTGATGCTAATACCTAATTTAATTCTGCATTTGTTGCAGAGCCAACGAGAACAATTGTTATCATAATCAATCCGTTGAAATTGTTCGCTTTGATGACAACATTGAATAGCTTCATTTTGAGACGGATCATCATCTGATACTTCCGTCTTACATCCATTAGCATCTACAAAAGAAGTTCAATAACGTCTAAAAGCATGCAGAATCATGACTTGCATTTTATTGCTTTAGCTTTTGGTTTTTTTGGTTTTTTGTGCATAATTTCTGGATGAATTGATGAAATATTTCTTTTGACAGTTGATCTGATTTGTTTTGTTGGTTCAGAAACATCAGGTGCATCAATTAAAAGTTGTATTTGATGGAAACGACGATTATAATCTAGATCATTCCATGATTCAAATACTTTACTAACAATTTGTTGACATCTAGCACTAAAAAAAACATTTAAATGTCATATAAATAACAAACCAACAAATGTCTCTACCTTACCTTCGTAAATCATCTTTCAGCAACATCTTTATAGTCATCAAAGCATCTAATGTTGATACCATTAAACGAGACCTTCCGATTGTTTGTACATGATTTATAGCAGAAAACTAAAAATTATAAATCAAGATAATATGAAATAATAATTTACCATAAAATACTCCACATACACCTCTTTCGCATTCAACAGAATTTGTTGGTGAAATCAAATATATGTTGAGGAAAAGTAAAATATTCTTGTATTGATCATTAAAAAGACTATTTGTTGTTTGTTTTAATAAAATAAAGTTTTTCCAAAACTCTTTGACTGCATGACCACTTCAAAGACTATTTATATAATCACTTAATGCAGGTTTAAGAGAATTCCATTCATTACGAACAGAAGTAGAATCAAAACCAACGAAATTTTTATATTTCTTACGTAAAAAATCAATTGCACCTCGTCCATATCCAGTTGAACTGATATCATTCTTGTGTTGAATTAAATATTGGGGATCAAACAAAATAGATAAATTTTCTTGAACAACTGATGGAGCGAATCGTTTAGTTAATTCTTCAAGTAATCGAGAAATATGTTCTTGACAATCATTTGAAAATTTTTGACGATCACCTAATTTGATTTCAAATGCACCAAATGTGCCAGTTTTTGTTGATTCAATATAATCGAATAATGAAGCACCATTAGCAGATGATGATTGAAATGTCCAACTTTTTAAAATATTCATTTTTTCTTTTATCATTCCCATCATATTGAAATACGTAAGTTGATCATTTTGCATTGCTTTTGTGATTGGACCTAAATTTAAAACAAATATCAAACTAAGTAAACTTGAGAAAAACGTACTATAAATGTAACACATAAAATATAACTTGACTTACCGAGAATAGATTCATGAAGATCATGATGCATGTGGATTAGAAACAGAAATTCATCATCTAATATTGTATTAAGTAGATCTTTTGCGTTTTCACGATCAAGATTTGATATATTACAATCAAACATTGTTTCTTGTAAACAACCTAGTAAAGATTGAGATTCTAAATGAAATTAATTTTTAAAATATTGTTTAACAAATAATCGACATATCGTAACCTGGTTGAATATTGATGATTATCGGTTTTATACAATCACGAATTGTAGACCATCTAATATCAAAACTTTTTTTGAGTTTGAGTTCAGGACGTTCCAGGAAGTTTTGCCAGCATTTTAATCTGAATTGTCTCTTGCAGCTGTTGTGAAAATAATTATATATTTTGCTGATTGTAGATTCGAGTTTCACAATTGAATTTGACAGAACACGAGATTCATTATCTATAACAATTAATAAATTCAAGAATACAACATTTTACACAAAAACCTATAGATACTTTGTGTTTTAGGAACATAACATGATTGAGAACCTACAAGTGAAAACGAATGAGCAACACAGGCGTTCACTTCCAAACAATCAGTTGCTAAATAATCACGTAGTCGAGTAATTACACCTTCATGTGCACCTACAATAGTTTCTATGAAAGATTGTACAATAAACTAATACACAACTTACCAGTAAACGTGAATGCATTATCAGTTGATAACCAGCACGAGTGACGTGGTCTTAAATCATCTTTGTTCCATAAACTTATTAGATTTTTAACAATATTTTTTGATGTTCCGTCACCTTCTAAATCTAATAAGCCATAATAATCTGTTCTTGCTTCATTGTTTGAAACATATCGAACGTACACAATACACATTTTTTTTGTTGATCTTGATATGGACTCATCCATCATCCAAGCTAAAAGAACAAATATAATATTCCGACTAACGAGAGAACCTCCTCACATGTTACCCTTCGATTTCAATGAATTTTTGTCTATAGATACTACATAGTGCCCTAG